CTGAATTGTACACTTGAAAATGATGGAAATGGTGAATTTCATGTTATTTGGATTCTATCTCATTAAAACTACATATAATCACAAAATACATATCATTGTGTGTGTGTGTGTGCGTGTGTGTATAACAATACACCAACGTAAGTACTAAACACTATTGCCTCTAATACTGTACCTCGTCATGGGTACAACACATGAGGCCCAGATCATGAAAGTAAATACTGAAAACTGAAGAGGTGAAACCAAAAGTTACTCACTCCTCCTATTATTATTCAATTATTAATTTATCTACTGTGTGCTTTATTGGTGACAGGAACTGAGTTAAGTGCTGTGGATACCGGATGAACAAGATATGATCTTCACTTTCATAGGGCTTCTAGTACAGACATTAAACAATGTCTAGAGGAGCTTGACACTGAACATCACTCAAATAAATATAGAACTTAAAACAAGGAGCCTAAGTTGAAATACTGTGTTTGGTGATATAATCTAAGAAGCAAACCTGACTTAGAGGAGGTACTGGGTAATAACCCCCCTGAGGAAATTCTATTTAGTCTTAAACTAGAAAGATGAGTTTTAGGGGAAACTGGGTAGCTCAGTCAGTTAAGCATCCGACTCTTGGATTTAGCTCAGGTCATGATCTCATGGTTTGTGGGATCAAGCCCACATCAAGCTCTGCGATGACAGCACCGAGACTGCTTGGGATTCTCTCTCTCCCCCTCTAAAAATAAATAAACTTAAAAAAAAGAAAGATGAGTTTTACCCAGGTGAACAGTGAAAATAAGAGTATCCCCTAGGGGCACCAGGGTAGCTCAGTCAGTTGAGGGTCTCATCAGGACTCTTGATTTTGGCTCAGGTCATGATCCCAGAGTTGGGAGATCAAGATTCTCTCTTGTTCCCTCTGCCCCTTTCCCAATCACATGTGTGCACACTCACTCTTTCTCTCTCCCTTCTCTCTAAAACAAATTTTTTTTATTTAAAAAGGGTATCCCCCATATGGAAGAGCAGTATAAAAGTCCCAAGGTAGAAAAGAACTCACATCTGAGAAACCCACTAAAGCTAGTTGTGACTGTAGCGTAGTGAATAAGAAAGCAACGGTCACAGAATGAGTTTGGGGAAGTTAACAGGGATCGGTCTACAAAGGACCTTACCAGCCACTCTGAGCATTCCCGCTTTGTGTTCTGGGTACAAAGGGAAGTTCCCCAAGAACTTCAGCGGGCAAGTAACATGATCAATGTAAAATCATCACCAGGCTCCTCTGTGGCGAAAGGAATGGAGAAGAGCAAACAGGACAGTAGGTGACCCGTCAGGAAGCTATTCTAGTAATGGCGCAGACTCAGGAAAGGAGGTGGAAAGAGAAGACATTTCCAAGGTCAGTTTTGTAGTCCAGGGGGTCAGCACATATTCTACTTGACAACTAAAATCTACTGATGTCAGGGGAAAAAAGTCTTCCAGAAAGTCCAAAGCATAAAAAGTAGAGGTTACTTAGCCAGGACCCCTAGATACACTAGCTTCAATCCAATACCAAACCCAATCCTACAAAACACTTCAGGACACGTCCAGGATTCCGGAAGCCTTTTCATAGAACTGAACCCAAATTATCCCTAGGCTTCTTGCAGAATATTTTCTTACTAGCAAACTTTCAGAGTGATGAGAAATCCATAGTGAAGTAGAAACCCAAAAGTTCACTGGGATGGGTACAGGCAAGGTTTGGTATCCTCACCTTGACCCACCTGCAAATTACCTTGTCCTTAAAACATTGTTTTTCCTATAAAGGAAGCATTGTGGGAGAGAAACACCCTGCTTAACATATGCTCTGTTAAAGGCTTCAGTTAAACACGCACACACACAGAGAAAGAAATATGTGCAAAGTATTCCAGATTATTCATGTACATCTGCCTCCTTAAACTGCACTTCAGAGACTGAAGCAGAACCCAGAGGCTGTGATGGATATCCTACAGTTTATAAAGAGTAAGTGAATGACTTTCATTGTAGTAACAAAGCAACTGTGCATTACACATGCAAATGTGCATATATTTCTTTTCCTCTTAAAATAAAAACCTGCTATCTACCTGCTAAATGTCACTTCAAAACCCACAGTGGGTCAGATACACTAAATTTGTGAATATCCTTATATCCTTATAGCTCAAGACATGAATCACGAAACCTAAGGCAATCTACCTATTCAGCTCTCCCAGAGCATACCAGAAGCAAATAATAGTCACTAGTTATAGACTTTGCAGCACATACTCTGTAAGTAGTCTTGTTCTATTACTTTTCATTTATACTGTGAAAATCAGTTTTGTGCTTAAAAACGTAAAATGCAAAAAGAGATGTTGTTAACCTCAAGGAATCATTACATCATTTCCATCTTTATCATTCCGAGGTTTTCAGCTTCTTTGAGGTTCTAATGATATCTTCCAACACATCATAATGCCACAATTGCATGACTGCTGTTTCAAGTGCTCCTGGTCCTCCTGGACTTCTTAAATACGTTAAGACTCTACTCTGCTTGGGGCGCCTACGTGGCTCAGTAGGTTGAGCACCCAACTTTGGCTCAGGTCATGATCTCATTGCATGAGTAGGAGCCCCACATCAAGCTCTCAGCTGTCAGCGCAAAGCCTGCTTCAGATCCTCTGTCCGCCACCACCGCCCCCCCCCAATCCTCCACTGCTTCTACATGTTCTCTCTCTCTTTCTTTCTCTACCTCAAATAAAAGGAAGGAAGGAAGGAAGGAAGGAAGGAAGGAAGGAAGGAAGGAAGGACGGACGGAAAGACTCCACTCTTTTTTAAGAAGGCTTCTCTCACCCCTTATGGGAGCTGATTTTCCAACCATCCTCCCTCTGACCACTATCTCTTGTATATGTCTCTGTCCAGATGGACAAATGTCTTCCCTTCCAAACAGGAGTTCCCTGACGCCTCATGCTCCCCGCACCTAACACAGCCTCACACCTGAAAGGTTCCCAAATGCTGGTGAAATGAAATGAAAGAGTAAATGAACCTGCATCCACCCAATCCTGTACTTAATTTTTTACACCTGCATTATCCTACATGTCAGTGACCCTCAATCCAACAACATTTCAGACAATTCTCCATTTCCCCCCATTCTTTCCATTTCCTGACAGGGGATTTTTGATTTGAGGTACTGCACTGCTTGGAAGGTGTTTATGAACACCAATTTTAAGAATAAGTAGAATTTTGGGGCGCCTGGGTGGCTCAGTCGGTTGAGCATCCGACTTTGGCTCAGGTCATGATCTCTCAGTTGGTGGGTTCGAGCCCCGCGTCGGGCTCTGTGCTGACAGCTAGCTCAGAACCTGGAGCCTGTTTCAGATTCTGTGTCTCCCTCTCTCTCTGACCCTCCCCTGCTCTCTCTCTCTCTCTCTCTCTCTCAGAAATAAATAAAACATAAAAAAAAAAAACCAAAGTAGAATTTCGCTTGCTGCCCAGGTTTACACACATGGCTTTGTACAGAGCTTGAATACAGATTAGAAAAGGACTTTACTCCTCAAATTCATGTTCTCTAGTGCCATGTCACACTATCACTCTAACACTCTTGACATTCACATCAGATATCATTTTTATAAAGGGTCCTTCATCATGACAAAGAAAAGATGCCCTTGGCAAGGAAAGAAGGATTTCATGAGTTAAATTTGTCATTCTGGAATAAATTATTTAGCACCACTTAGATCCTGAAAGCTTTGAACCACCAACCTTGTGGTTTATGTCACTCTCTTCTATGTTTCCAAGTTCCCAACAGTCAAGCAACAATTTAATTCCACTGTGCAAAATCAATACAACTTAAATTTACTACTGGAACTGACACTATCTAGCAAACTAAAAAAAGATGTATTCTTCGATTGACATGAGATCATGGTAAAGCTGCCTCTACAAAGAGGTACTTAAAAACCATCCTAGAATTTAGGAATGAATTCTTCTCACTGGACTTGTAACAAAACGATGTCTACCCCACGCCCACCCCCTTGCGGGAAATGAGCGGGATCCCTGAGGCCACCTAAATTCTGGCCACACAGACCCAGCTTCGCCTTAACTCGGTCAAGGGCCTACACTTTGAGATCACCCTGGAAAGCCAAGAAAGCTTGTGGCGGTGCTAACGAGAGAGCGAGCCAGCTAGCTTGTGAAATGTATTCTTTCACTACTTTCGAGTTTTCGTCAGACGGGAAAGCCGATCATCGTCTTCATTCTAAATTCTATCACTAGTGCAACTATCAGTGGGAAAGTTTGGTGCAGGGGTCACCGATTCCAGCGTTATTTACCTGGAGTGACCGGGGACGAGGCGCTTTTGTTGAGTGGCAAAAGCGGGTGCGGTTTCAAACACACCAGCGGACGAATCTATAAGCTGCGCCCTTCTCCTCAAGGAAGGAAACTGGCGGAACAGGCAGGGAGATGTAAGGACTGGGAGGAACATTCACCCTACAGCGAATACTGACCATCCGCTCTGTGTTACGGTCCTTCGCAGCTGAGAGCCTGAGGATGCGGAAGCGGAGAGCGAGCTGGGTGGGTCTGAACGCTTAGATTCAACAAGCTACCGGAGTGCCTTCAGGCCCCCTGCACACAACTACTCGTCTGCTCGCACCTGTCATCAGGAAGGCTTGTTCCTCGTTCAACTGCTCAGAGCAGCCGAGAGAAAATCTGGGGGCGCGGGAAGGGGCTGGGGAGCAGCAGCACCCTAGTGCCAGGCTGGAAGGGGGCGTTTATCAGCCCATCAGAACCCCCATTACTCAACAGACAATTGGGGCTCCCTCCCGTCCACCCCTGTGTGCAATGCGCGCTCTCAAGGACGAGAGGTTGGAGCCAGCAGCAGCCAAAGCTAGGCCTTGTGCAAGGCAGCGAGGGACAGACCGGCCTCCCAGCGAGCCGGGAGACGCTGGCGCGCTGCCTCCTCCCCGGCTCGCGCTGCGGGCTCGGCCAGCGCCCCGCAGGGAAGCCCAGCATCCCTCCTCCGGCTCCCGCTCTCCCTCTCCCGCCCGCGCGGTGCCACCCACCTTGGGCGTGCGGATGTGCTCCATGGCGGGCCCGCTCCTCCGCGGTCCCGGGCGGGCGCGGCCTCACGCACCTGCGCGCGTCTGCGGCGCGGCGGGCAGGGCGCGGGGAGGTGGCTTCGCGCGCGGGAGCAGGCGGGCCGCCGGGCGTGGCTCCGCCCCCAGGTGCGGCGGCGCCCGCGCCCGGCCGGCGTGCGGGGGCCCCGGGGCGCAGGCGCGGCCCGAGCGCGCGCGCGCCCCTGTGCGCCTTCCACCTGCCCGGCGCGCGGCCGCCCCAGCCGCGTCGTGGCCGCGGTGGTCCAGGGCCGCCGGCTTTTCTCCGAGAGGGGCGGCCGGAGCGCTGTGAGGCTGCTGTTCCCCCAGACACAATGGGGGCCTCGTGTTGGGTGTGGCCTCTCGGAGGAGAGCTGGGGAGTACGCGCAGCTCTGCGCCGCCCAGTGATCGGCTGCCTTCCAGGGCGTCCCTGGATGGGTAGGACTTCAGGGTGGGGCGGGAGAAGGCCGCCGCTTGCATCCCAGACCCAGGATGGCCTGGTGGCCTGTCGGTGTGTTTGAGCACGTGAGCGGCTGGCATAGCCTTTGGAGTCAGGGTGGAAATAAAAGCAACAGTGTTAGAGCCTTAGGTAGTGTTCTGTGAAGTCAGGCATCTCACACCAACCTGCCTCTTGACTGTTGGAAGAGATCCTTTCCCTTGGCACCGTGCTGGGTGCTCCTTTGCCATCTTCATTTAGCTCTAACTGAACTGCAAGGTAAAGATACAAAACATCCATTATAAGGTACCACTTTTCCATTTACGGTATTAAGAGTGATTGTTGCTACTGTCAGTATTCAGCGGTTGGGAAAAGCTGGAGAAGACATGCTACTCCCTCCCCTTGCGGGCAACCTTTTTTCGTGCAACCCTAAGTGCACAGCCGTCCACCATAACTAAAATTTCACAGAACTGTACAGAGTTCTTTTTTTTTTTTAATTTTTTTAATGTTTTCTTTATTTCTAGGAGAGAGAGAGAGAAAGAGACAGTGTGAGTAGGGGAGGGTCAGAGAGAGGGAGTCACAGACTGAAACAGGCTCCAGGCTCTGAGCTGGCAGTCAGCACAGAGCCCGACGCGGGGCTCGAACCCACGAACTGCGAGATCATGACCTGAGCGAAAGTCAGACGCTCAACCGACTAAGCCACCCAGGCGCCCCAGAACTGTAGAGTTCTTAAAATAATATTCAGGGAACCTGGCTGGCTCAGTCGGAAGATCTTGATCTTGGGGTCGTGAGCCCGAGCCCCACGTTGGATGGAGAGATTACTTAAATATTTTTAAAAGGAATAATATCTATTCAATTTTTTCTAGCTTTTATTCATCTCTCTTTCTAATTGGATTGTAACTTCGTTAAGTTTAGAGATTCTGTGTTTTAGTTCCTTTTGTTCAATGCTTGGTAGGCACATTGCAGCCATCCAAATAGATGTTTAAACCATACAGTGTTACATTTATATAAAATGTCCAGCTCTTTTTCACATATCTTCTAGAATTTCAACCTCCTACTGCTCTGGGAGACAATTAGGACAAGAAAGATAAACTGATGATTGTGTGTGACAAAATTGACCCAGGGTATAATTTCTACCTTAACTAAAGAACACCAGGCATAGAGTCAGGAACACTGTCTTCAGACCTCACACACTGGTCACGTTTGTAAACCGTCTCATTTGTAAAATAAAAGTTACTTTCATAGATGACCTTAAAGGTGGCTTCCCTCTCTAAATTCCATAAGTACTAGGAACCCTATATTCACTTTGGAGTTTGCATTCTGAATAGGATAATAATCTTGAAATTGTATGATTTCAGGGTTCTTCTGTCCCTCCACTGGTAGGCAGATCAAGAGTTTACTTGGTGAGTAATTTTTTGCATACAACTCATCTTCATATTTAGCGTAGTTTTTTTAAGCACCCATAACACTAACTGATACATGAAAAGCCATAAGTCTGAATGTTATAAATAGCCTAATTTTAAGAAAAAATTTCCAGATTCATTCAGAAATACATCTTACTTTATCATAGCTATAAAATCAGCATTAGGTTAAAATGAGTCAAAAACTATTCAAGGGGTACCTGGTGCTCAGTTGGTTAATTGTCCAACTTAAGCTCAGGTCATGATCTCGCAGTCCATCATCTCGCTGTCCATGAGTCCATCTCGCAGCCCCTGCATTGGGCTCTATGCTAACAGCTCAGAGCCTGCAGCCTGCTTCATACTCTATGTCTCCCTCTCTCTCTGCCTCTCCATCCCTCATGCTAGGTCTTTCTCTCCCTTTCTCTCTCTCTCTCTCAAAATAATAAATAAAAAAATTAAAAATATTCAAGTTATCAGGGTAAATTAACAGAGCAAGCTATATTAATTTATAATAAATTTATCAAGTATTTTTATAAAATTTTATAAATAAAATAACAGTAGGGAAAGAAATCTCTATAAATAAACATTTTAGTTTGATCTAACAATTCTCTGAGGAACCCTCCCTCGCTTGTCCCTCCTCCCCAGTCACTATTCAGATTTTTAAATTTTTTTTTTAATTTTTATTTATTTCTAGGAGAGAGAGAGAGAGAGACAGCGTGAGCAGGGGAGGGTCAGAGAGAGAGGGAGTGACAGACTCTGAAACAGGCTCCAGGCTCTGAGCTGGTAGTCAGCACAGAGCCCGACGCGGGGCTCGAACCCACGAACCGCGAGATCATGACCTAAGCGAAAGTCGGACGCTTAACCGACTAAGCCACCCAGGTGCCCCACTATTCAGATTTTTAGATCACACACAGTGTGGACCCTTGAAGGCCACTCTGCTCTTTGTGTTTCTTACCTTACCTCATAGCCCCAAGTTTTCCTGCTTCTCTGAACCACCACTCAGTGGGGCAGAAGAGACTGAACAAAGCAGCATGTCTTGGAGGGCAGTGAAGTGAGGGAATGAGGAGTCATCATCGCAATGCTAACGTTGTTGATCCTAAGGAGGACAAAAAGAGAAACTAGCCACTTGTTTATTTAAGAAATATTGACATTAATTGCATTGACACGGATGGAGCTGGAGAGTATACTAAGTGAAAAAAGTCATTCAGAAAAAGACAAATACCATATGATTTCACTCATGTGGAATTAAACAAACAGAAAGGAGAGAGAGAGAGAGAGAAACCAAGAAAGAAACAGTCACTTAACTATAGAGAACAATAGGTGATGGGGACAAGCAGCGCCCTTGTCATGATGAGCACCAGGTGATGTATGAATCACTACGTTGTACACTCTGAAACTCATATAACACTGTGTTACCTAACGGATTTAAAACAAAAACTTTGAACACAGAAACACGTTAATTAACTGGTCATCACGCACAAGATACTGTGGCAGATCCTGGGAGACTGAAGGGAGATTTAGAGGAGAAAGATACCAAGTTCTGTAACAATGATACAGATAACACCACGGGAATGAGAAGCAGATCAGGTAAGATGGCTACAAGCGTGTGGAAAAGCCATAAGACGCCTCAAGGAGACTGATTCACTTTCTGCGTTTTCCGTATTAATTATACAGAAAATGATGGGTACCCTCAGAATCACAAACGTAGTTCTTGAAGTTTGACATTTGGTGTCTAGAATGAACCCCGAGAAATTTGAGTGGATGCTGCATCTTTGAGTCTTCATGGAACAGAACTCTCTCCATCTGGCCCCAGAACCCAGAAGTGAGGAGAGAGAGAGAAAAAAAAAAAAAAACACATATTCTTAAAACCCTATGTAATTTACAGATGGATATACACCTGGATCTGTACTACATCAGCCTTTGACCAATGAGTTAGAAAATGGCTACTTTTCTTTAGTATTTGTGAATCCTTGATGGAAAATAAATGTATTTCATCAAAACTATTTTCATCATCAAGCAAAACATCAGACAACAGGATTAAGGTCTAGTTACCTCCATATTCAACAAACGACTTCTTCCCTTGCCAAGACACAGCATAGTTGTCCTCGTTTTATCATTAGTGTCTCTTCTTTCACTGGTTTTAACCTTGTAAAAATGGTTGATAGGACTGTACCCCTCAATATTTAATTCTCCTGTTCATGGGCACACAGGAGGCTTTGCTTTTCAAAACTGTTACCATTGGGTGAGGCCATGTGGCCATTTCTTTCCTTTTTTTAAAAAAATATTTATTTATTTTTGAGAGTGAGAGAGAGAGCACAGCTGGGGAGGGGCAGAGAGAGAGGGAGAGAGAGAATCCCAAGCAGGCTACATGCTGTCAGCACAGAGCCCATTCTGGGGCTTGATCTCACGAATTGTGAGATCATGACCTGAGCCCAAATCAAGAGTCAGACACTTAACCAACTGAGCCACCCAGGTGCCCCTGAGTTTATTTATTTTGAGAGAGAGAGAGAGAGATTGAGAGAGAGCACGCACAGGCAAACAGGGGAGGAAGAGGGAGAGACAGAGAGAATCCCAACCAGGCTCCGCACTGTCAGCACAGAGCCCAACACAGGGCTCAAACTCATGAACCATGAGATCATGACCTGAGCTGAAACCAAGAGTCGGATGCTTAACCAACTGAGCCACCCAGGTCCCCGGGGCCATTTCTGTGCAGTTGATTGTGAGAAGTGCCGTGTACCATTTTTGAACCAAAGCTCTACAAAACCTGAGTGGCCTTTCAGCTTCCTCTTCCCTGTCCTGAAATTTGGAGATCACATGTTGAGAATTTAGAGAAAATAGTGACAGTAAGTTCACTCTCAAATATGTGATGCCACTGTGACCCCAAACTATTCATCGTTGGCATGAAATAAAGGAAGAAAGAACTAGACTGTTTGCCCAAGTCATCACTTGGAAAGCAGTTACCCTGAAGAGTCACAGCAGAGTCTTTTGAGTGAAAAAAACACGTTTTTGTGGTAGTGTTGGTGTTTGCCTGAAGCCATTGAAATTTAATGGTTTAAGTTTTGTACCTAGACTAGCCTATCCTGAATTTACAGAGAAGGGAAATCCAGGAGAGAGCAAAGGTGATATCCTGTCTGTACCTTCTGTGTTTCTAATCATTTTAAAGGGGATTGA